CAAAAAATGTCCCTGAATATATATCATACTTCATTGACTTCTTAAACAATCTAACAATGATTTTTCTGATGATGACCAGGCTGCTCAAGATGAAATCTAAATCTAGGACTTGACTGCGTGGACCTGTCAATGAGAAGCTCGTGCAGGAGGCGAAGAGCCGGAAGCACCTCCTGAGGCCCTGCCGCCCAGCACTGGGGCAGGTGTGAGGGCACCACGCAATCCAGCAGCAAAGACAAGGAGCAGGGTCATGGGGACGGATCCCTGCACCAGGCGCCCGGGTAGCACCGAGTAGCACCCAATGTGAGACAGCCCTGCACTAAAGGAGAACAGATTGCTAGACTTTTAGAGTCTTTATTTCTATTTTTTTATGGTTCTTTTGTCTCCTGCTTCAAAAACTGCCTAATGTCTTCTCTCATTCCTACTAGCTCCTTAAAACCAAACACCATGTCTTACTCATCTTTGTGTCTCAACACCTAGTAAAAGTCCTGGCGAGTTTGTGGAATGCTTTTAGTGAAATCTGTGTTAACATTTCCAGTGGCCCTATTTCCTCAAGTTTCTAGACTATGCTAAAACTGCTGCCCATGCCGTGTAAAATGTGAAACTTACTAAAACAGTCACCCTATTTTACACACAATACAAGGCCATATACAGTAGAATCTCGGTGAGATTTCAATAGTGATTCTATCTCCCATAGAATAAGGCACATTTGCTTAGTTATCTTGTTGGGTTTTGTTTTTTTTTTAATTTTGGATGCATGGCTATGTTGTGGATGTTGGACACTCCTGCAAGTCTAACGTGAGCTGATATCGTTGTCATTCCCTAGCTATGAATAACTGGAAAGAAGCAAAGCGGAGGCGAAGAATAGACACATGCCCAGTAAAGTCTGGGTGGAATAGGGGAGGTACTTGCCCGTCAGTCACACTTGGAAACAGGTCATTGGCCAGAGTTCGCATGGCCACTGCAAATGTGGGAAGATTTGAGATAAATAAGCTCCTAAGCAAAGGAGTTTTCACTTTTGCCTCTTGGCTCTTGTTTGCTCCAGCTTGACTCCTGGCCCGCAGGACTCTCACGCTCCTGCTCAGAGGCACGTGCACCCCGTACAATGGACTAATGGACTGCAACTAGCCTGATACTGTACCGGTCCCAGCTCCTCCATGGAACGGAAACTCTGGACACTGTCTTTGCTTCTAGCTCTACTGAATCCCCAGCTGCACACCTTCAAGTACTGGGTTAAGGCAAATGGGACTTGGCAAACCCAGAAATGTAATTCCACGCAAATAAAGCTTTCTACTGATCCCATCCTCCATGGGGCCTCTGGAAATGCTTATTCCCACAGCACCTCAGCGCCCCACTCCCGCTAGCAATGGAGAAAGACCCACCATCCATTTCTCCAATAACAAAACTATCTGAAGAGTCAGTAAAGGTAAACATTAAGCAGAATATAACTTCTTTAAAATCAGTTTGGGCCACATGCTAGTAAGTTACTAGGATTAAGAATTAAATGAATTTTGGTGTTTAAAGAAGAAGATTCTGGCCACTGCTTGAAGCTTAGGCTCCTTTTACTTCATATACGATAGCATCATGTGTAGCCTCATTCTAGAACAATTCTTTTGGCAGACAGGAGCAAAATTCACACCGAGACATTCTTTTCTTGAGTCCCTCACACGCCCAAGCTCTCAAAGACAAGGTACTTCCCTCCAGAGCCTCAGTTTCTTCATCTATAATGTAGTCAAATGGGACCCCGTGATTTCTAAGGTTCCTTGTTTCTCTGTGATTCTAAACGGAGATCAAAGACCCCGGAGTCTGAATTGAGGCCACGAGGATGTCTCCAGGTCTTGGTTTGTCACATCCCAACCACAACTGTTGTGTACAAGACCATTTTATTTGTGCCCAAGTGGCCCCTTATCCATTTAGTGGCTTGCCATGTAAGCCCCATGTAACAGTGCCTGAGAAAATAAGTGTGAGGTCTATTCAAACGGTGGAATTGGAAAACATGTTGCCACAGTCATCCCCAAGGAACAGAATATACCCACCCATTCATCATAATTTATATGCTTTGAATACTCTATTTTTCTGCAGTTGGGAAACATTGATGGCCTTAAGTATCTGAGGGAATAAAAATTAGGATATTAACAAACATTCATTAACAGAAGTCTACTGAAAACCATCACCACGAAATAGTGCAAGAAAATGCTGGGATGTTAGTCAACACCAACATTATACAGCTCAGAGCCTCATTACACAACACAAATGTACAACTGTGGCCCAATTTTGGGGACAAGGAGAATGACTTTTTAAAGGATGTATACCCAGTTCATTTCAATAATGGCATATATTCAAAATTAATTTATAATAAAACACAGTTCTTTGTCTCAATACCAGTAGTAAGTATATTAATGAATGTGCAATGCAAAAAAAATCCGATCAGAGTGACAAACATATCAGCCTGCTCACAAATACTTAATGAAAACTATGGTCAAGAGCACAATATAACTTTGTAGAAGGATAAAGTCTTTGAAATTCTAACAGGCACTTGAGGGAGAAGTTAAATATTAGCGGGAAATAGCTGCACGCAAATTAAATCTCAGCAGCTCAAGACCATCAACACTTTAGGAAAAAAGTATATCATTAGTCCTGCTAGGCATTCAATAAGAAGAATGATATCCAGTTTTCTGTGATTTTTACTCAGAGAAGACCTTACTTAGACTTTCAGTCACGTGTGCAGCAGGCGGAGGAAGGCAGGCATTAAAGGTAGCTGAATGCTACAGGTATCACTTGTTAGAGGAAGATTGCTGAGCCTTCTTTTCTAATGTGGTTGGACTTTTTTTACAATCTGTGGCATCTAAGGGGAAACACTAAAGGTGGGTATCAGGCAAAACAAACTGCAGGCTTTGTGCTGATGTCATGAACGGAACCACTGCCTCCTTTCTGACCATGTGCATCACACCAGTCCCAAGCTAAGCAAGACCTGGGCTATCTTTGCCCAGAATTCAGAGGGAGCTGAGTGAGGGGAGAGACTGTTCTCCCTGGCTAGAATCTCGGGGTGCAGGGGGAGGAGTCATATTGGAACACACAATTGGAGAAGAGAGGAGAAGTTGGTAATTTCATGTAAGAAAACCCAGCAATATTTGCACCTTGGTAATGATAATTATGGCAATAGAGCCCATCTGGTATGTGCACCCAATGAAATCTTTTGCAAACATTAAAATTATTAGGACAAAACCTAGGTGCATGGGGAAATTGTGATACTATATTGGGTAAAAAAAGCAACCACACCATAACAATAAGGTAAAATATACATTTGCATATGACAAATAGAGATACATAGAAAATTGAAAATAGTTTCACTGTTTGAAAAGTGGGATTATGGGAGAATTGTTTTCTTTGGAGTAATGCAATCATAAATGCTGCTAATATATTCTTACAATAATATCCTTTGCCTTGCTGAAACGTGTCAAAATGAGTAGATTTTGTAAAGCTTAGTTTTTTTCTCTGCTTTAATTATTTAAAGTAAGGCTTCCACTACTTTCCTCTTAAATTTGAGGACTAATGTACGCTTAATCTTGTTATTCATTGAATAATCAAATACATTTCTTATGCAGAAAGACAGCTCAAAGCCCAAGTTTGAAAGTAATGTGGGTCCAGCCTTAGGAAGATTTATTTTGAAATTTTACCATTAGGACTTGATTCACATCGAGGAAAAAACTGTAGTTCATATAGGCACTTACTCTAGCAGTGTCATTTAGGACAGCCCTGACGACAAGGAGATGTGCACAGTGTGACCAGAACACATGGGGAAAGCCCACTGGCCTTTCTTATACCAGATAAATAAGATCAAAATGAGCATCTAGGATGGCCTTGAAATAGAGCATAAATGTTTTAAATGAGCAAATTGCATTCAGAGAAAAGTGGAGGTAATATTGCAGTGTGCCTAGGGTTGGAAACTGCAGAGGGTTAAGAACTCCTCATTATTGATGAGTCTAAGGTCATCACAAAGGTGAGGGCTGCCTCCTGGAGTCATTTTCCAATTGCTTCTTCAGAAGGGAAGTGTGCTAGACACAAACCTGGGCTCACAAGAGGTTAAGGGACCCAGACACAGACTGTACCAGAAACAGATGGGACAAGAGCCCCAGCCTCATGAACAGCACACTTCCACCGTCTGCTTACCATCTTTCTTTCTTTTTTAAATCCTCACCCAAGGACATGCTTAAGAGAGGCAGGGAGAGAGAGTGAGAAACATCAATCAGTTACCTTCTGTGCATGCCCCAACCAGGGATCAAACCCACAACTCAGTTATATGCGTTGACCAGGAATCTGGTGAATGGGACGATGCTCAACCAACTGAGCCAATCTGGCCGGGCTCTGCTTACCATCTTTCTCCGTGCAGTTAGCCAAGCTTAGGCTAAGGGAGGCAGCTGACATGCTGCCAGTCACCTCCAGAGCCTCTCAGAGGTCGAGAGACTTTGAGGTTCTCGGTATATATAGAAATGAAGAGATGTGACTGGGGGTAAACACACATGCAGTATATGGATGATGTATCATAGAATTGAATGCTTGAAACCCATCTAATCGTACTAACCAATGTCACCCCAATAAATGTAATTTTAAAAAGGAAATGAAGCAATGTCTAAACAAGGTTACAGAAATTTTGGTACATTTTTAATATTTACATTTAACAAATTGCTGCTTTTGAAGCACACCAAAAAAAAAAAAAACCTCACCATTTAAAAATGGTAATTACAGGATTTATGTGGCTGTTAAGCACTAGCACACTGTGGTTGGTGTGGTCCAGATAATGGGATACAAGTTTAAAGTGGTCAGTGGGTCTTGTCTTCTTTCAGTCCTCTCAGTATCACTCCGGACCCAGCATTCAGTTACACTTGAGACCCCTCATGCCAGAAGCCCAGGCCAGACCCCACCTTGTCCCCCCATCAAAGGTACTGTTTCTCTCTCCTGAATGTTCCCAATTAGAAATCTTTCCTTAACCATAATCCTATCACATCACCTGCTCCAACTTACCGTGATATTATAAAGGAGGCAAACAGACAATTTTCAAAGAACCAAAGGGACTTGAGGATGTAAGTTGCTGCCATACTACTGCTAAATATAAAACTGACTCTTTTAGAGCTGGAAGTGATCTTAGAAACCATGTCCACTAAGCTCCTTCTGAGCATCTTACAACTCGGAGATTCTTTCCAGGTAGGTGCTGAGGATGCACTTTGGGCCCGTGGAGCCATGGCAAGTATCAGGGACTGAGGAAGGAAGCGGGGCTGTGGTGTGATTGGGGGATGCACCCCGACGTGGAGAGGCCAGCAGAGAGCCCCAGCGACTAGGGATTGGATCCTTGTCCATTTACAAAGATGCCCTGGAAGCAGAGCGGAAAGGTTGTCTTCACTAGAAGGAGGTCCCTGGAGCTGGGTGGCAGCGGGGGTGGTATTGAGGAAAGCAAGGCAGGGAGGTCTTTTCTGAAATGTTTTATTTTAACCACTTAATTACAATGATTACTCATGGCCAGCCACGGTATTCTTATGTGCCAGGAAGCTAGAAATGGCTTAATGAGAGGATGTCCATCAATTTTTATAAGAACAAATTGGCAGGATCCAAAACTTCTGTGATGTCAAAGTCACTGCCTAGAGGTCTTACCGCCTTAAATGGGAGAAAGGACGGGTGCCTGGTGCTTTTCAGGAAACACATCAAAGAGAGGCCATTGGAGAGCAGCCAGCCAGGTCCTGTCCAGCAGCAGAACCAAAGCCTGAGCTTCTGCTCCCACGGTCCCATTCCCCTCCCACCCATATTCACAGAGAGGGAGCCCTTAGATTTCCTATGCTCAGTGGGAAGAGCAGGATGGACACTGTGGGAGGGCCTTATGGGAGCAGCAAAGCCAGCCCATACTCGGGTGTCGGGAGTGATGCCTTTGGCAGGTGTTTGTAAAAGAGGGTGCGCTGGGGACTCCTCACACAGAGTACTGCATTGGGAGGGGATACTGAAGAATTGGTTTGTAAAGGACTTTTACTGACATGTGAAAGTCCGCTAATTGTTGATTTACTCTTTCGCAATTAGAAATGTTTGCTTTAGCCCTAGCCGGTTTGGCTCAGTGGATAGAGCCTCAGCCTGCGGACTGAAGGGTTCTGGGTTCGATTCTTGTCAAGGGCACATGCCCAGGTTGCGGGCTCAATCCCCAGTGGGAGGCGTGCAGGAGGCAGCCAATCAAGATTCTCATCATTGATGTTTCTATCTCTCTCTCTCCCTCTCCCTTCCTCTCTGAAATCGATAAAAATATTTTTTTAAATAAATGTTTGCTTTTTTAGAAAACCTAACTCTGATATTTGATTTTATAGGGAAAAGCACAGACTTAATGAAGAAATAAGAATCATAAAAGAGCGGCAGGAAAGAATTAACAAAGAGCTTAAAAGGTTTGTTTCTTATTCAACGCTGTAGTGTTTAAACATTTTAATTGAACAAATGTGTTACATAAAACCACAATGATTTTATTACGTAAAAATACACCAACTCAAATATCTGCAAAGAGATTTTCTATTCAACAGTTCATCTGGAGTAACATTTTAACTTCCTTTATCCACATAATTACCTACTCTGCTAAGTTAATTACTTGCTAACATTATCATCTTCTCCTTTTACTCCACCAGATATAGAACTTAGGCTCAGGTTTTTAAAAAGCAAGCCCATGAGCATGCCGTGCCCTAAGGGAAGATGTAAACTCCAGACCCACCTGTTTAACTGGTCTGCCCCGGGCTAGTCCTTTGTCCCCCTTCTGTCCCTGCTGTTTCCC